CGCTTAAATCCTCAAATCTTCAGTAATTAGCCACTGTCATTAGATTAAACTGATTCAACGACACAGATAAGGCCACACCGCCGCACCTAATGACATGACCGCATATGAGCTCTCTTCTATATATATATATTATGTAACACCCCCGATTTCCATGCCATTTTAAACTTAGATATGCAAGATAATCTAACCACAATATAAACAAACACAGCGGAAGTCTAACTATATAAAACTGGAAAACGACGAGTGTTATGCCACGTTCACCCTACAGTGAATGCACATGCAATAACATCATCAACATCAGACTAAGAAGTCTAGCAAAAGGGGCACACAGGCCTAAAACACAACTACAAGAGTCTGGGGGAACTACACTAGCCATCTCTATATCGCCCTCGCCACTACTCGGGACCTGAAAAACACATAAATAAATGGGACGACGCTCGGTTAACAAATGATGCTGGTAACCCACCAATACATGTTAAGTATCATACATAGGTAGTGAATATACAAAATCATTTTCGAAACGGAATACTGTATATATAAGTTCAAAACCAAAGATAGAAGTCAACCACAAGACTCTATACCACTCATAACAAGAATAAGGGAACACATACCAAGACATCAAGAAGCAACAACGACAACACAAGTAAGGCTCAAGGTATATTCTACCATCACTCAGTAGGATATCACCCGACATACTCGACACAAGTGAATAAAGACACACATTGGCAACACATGCCTTCGTGACATCACTCGTCACGGATAAGGAAAACACACATTGGCAACTCATACCTTCGTGACAACACATGTCACAAATACAATAAACCTTCCTTGTGCCCGGTTCCAACCTTATGGCTACCCCCAACCTTATAGCTAGTTCAAACCATTACCTCCAGGACCCCTGTACAGCCAAATCCAACCTTATCCCTCCGAGGACCGTCGTCCCCATCCGCCGACAACCGCCAACAATTCCACCAATTCATAGTACACGAGGGTACCGATCACAACACACGGCCGAAGCCCTCCCAAAACACGTGAACCCGACACACAGATCACAAACTCAATAATCACGTCATGGCCACCACGAGAACCACTGTCGTACCTTGGTGACTAATGTCCCATACCATTAATCGTGCAATCCAGGTACAGCCACACACACCACACCATCATAGGAATCAATCAATGGATCACAACAAAGATATGAAACCATACTCAACAAGAAAGGATCACAATCCGACAACAACGATGATCAACACAAGTCATCATCCATAATAGGAAAGGACAAACAACACACGCTAGCATTTCAACACCGAACTAGCATGCTTATCAAATGGGTAAACAAAACATAGTTCCGAAGAACACACAAGACTCATCATGGTTCAACGAATCACAAGGTTGAACACTTATCACGATTCAAGACACCAAAACCTACATGGAATCCTACCATATAGTTCTAAACATACGAAACATCAAGAAGACACTCAAATAGTTCCACAAAAGAGCATCGGGAAGTCAAAACATCGAATACCAAGTCAAAAGAATCACAGGGAACAAATCCCCTCACAACACCATCTTGTACCCCGCGGGTGGGGCCACGGGTGGACCCCCACCCGTGGTTCCGCCCGCGGGAACACACTCCCAAACGCCTTGTACCCCGCGGGTGGGGCGGCGGGTACCCCTACCCGCCGTTCCGCCCGCGGGTACCATACCCTGTACAAAAATATCCCTTCGGGGATTTTCAACACCAAGCTCAAATTCAAGTCCAAAACATGCAAAATCTCACCAAATACAACAAAATGACTTGAATCAAAGGAATAGCCAAGCAATGGCATACATGAACCCTAATAACAAGCTCTAGATATGCATTTTCACAAGACAATGCATCAACACTCACATTTCATAGCAAAATCACAAGTAGAATCCAAGAAATCATCATATAGGTAAGTAAAATAGATTTTGTAAAGCATGAGTTACCTCTTGAAGACTAAACCTTCACTTATAACACTTCTCGAAGCTCCATTCAA